CCGGGTGCGGGAGCTTAAGTGGGTCTGAGCTGTGCCAGCCACCCGGGAACGAGGGGAGCCTGCGGTCCAATAGGCGAGCCGTGAGGTGTCCGTGGTCAACCAATCAGGTTTCGGTATGAGTCGTCGAGAAGCTGCTGATGGTGAGGGCGAGAGGACAGGCTTTTTTTTTTTTTTTTTTTTGCAGCCGGATAGGAAAGGATGGAGGTCCTCGAAGGTGATCTAGCTAGATCGTGCGAAGAGCAGGTCCGGAAAATGAAAAAGCGAGAGATTAAAAGTGGTGGGGCAAACCCACTTGCTGCTTTCTTTTGTGTTATTATGGTAACAAAAGTAATTCATACAAATCTTAAGATTACTATAAACAGTATTTACAATAACTGTACATTGCTGTTAATGGTTAAGCAAGACAGTGTTCTGTGTCTATTTTACAGCGCTGCTGCATAGTCTGGGTCTGGCGGTCCATTCTCCAAGTACGGAGCGATTCTCCTCCACCAGCTGTGGTCTCTCCCGTGAGGGTTCTCAGTTTGCTGTTCCTCGGAAGTTCTGGCCAGTTCTTCGTTTGTGATGGCCATTTTGTCCCAGACTTTTTTAGAGAGTGTGTATAGTCTTTTGTTTATTGGCTCGATTCTGTATTTGTCGTGCAGTTCTGATATCGTAAGGCTGGTGTCTTCTTCGTTCCTGTTGGTTGCTGCCCGGAGTGCTCGGTTCTGGAACTGTTGCATCTTCCTGATGTTTGTTTTGGAGGATATGCAGAGAGGGATGGCTGGGTACTCCATGATTGGTCTTATCAGGGTTTTGTAGAAGTGCAATTGCGTATTCGTACTCATTCCTTTGAAACGTTTTAGTTTGGTGAATTGCTTTTTTGCCATTGCAAGTCTCCTTTTCATGTGGTTTGACACCCCGCGGGTGCCGAATTCCATGCCAAGTATCCTTACTTTGTTGCAGAAAGGAATTCTCTCTTGGTCAACAATTACCTCCTTTGGTTTTGTGGCTGATACTGAGAGAAGTTGAAATTTATTCTTGTTTGTTTTAATCTTCCATCTCTTCTCGAAGTCATTTATCCTTTTGATTTCATTTACGGTGACTGCAGTAAGCATTTCTTTTGACTTTAATGGATATAGCATGATTTGAGTTATATCATCTGCAAAGCTGACGTCGACGCAGTTGTTGTTGGGTCGTTCGAGGTCTGCCGTGTAGAGTATGAAGAGAGTTGGACTTAATGTTGACCCTTGTGGCACCCCGCTCTGTAGTGGGAATCTTGGTCCTGCAACTGTATCGAGTCGTATCATTGCTGTTCTTCCCTCCACGAAGTTGCAGAGGATCTTTTCCATATGTGGTACATTGATTTGCAATATTTTGTATTGCAATCCTGGTTTCCACATTTTATCAAATGCTTTCGCAACATCTCTGCAAACTATGTTGCACTGCTGTCGGTCTCTCTGTGACATGGCGATTGTTTCGTATATGGCCGCAATTGCTTGTTGTGTGCCTCTCCCTTTTCTGAAACCATACTGGTTGTTATTGAAGAGATTGCATCTTTCAATGTAGTTCGTAATGCGATTGTTAATGATCTTTTCGAATACTTTTCCCGGGATTTCTAATAGGGAGATCGGTCGGTAATTCTCGGGTTTTCTTGGGTCCTTTCCTTCTTTGGGAATGAGAATCATTACCGCGTTTTTAAATTTGTCCGGGAAATATCCCATCGAAAGGGACCAGTTGAATATTGCTTTTAATTTTTCAATTGCCGCTTCCGGTAGTTTTTGCATAATGGTCTTTTTTATTCCGCTTGCGCCAGGTGTTTTGTCTATAAATTTAATTATTGTTTTTATTTCTTCTTTAGATATTGGTCTGGTTAGAGGGCTGTCATCTTGCAATCTGTTTAGATTTGCTTCTCTGTAGGGGGTTAGTCTTTCCTTGTTTACAGATAGATAGGCTTTTATCTGGGCTTCGTGTTGCAGGTCGAAAGTTCTGTTATCTTCTGGAGTGATGTTAAAGATGTTCTTCCAGAAGTTTCTGAAAACTGCTTCTTTCTGTTTGCTGTCAAAGACTTTCTCGTTTCTTTCATTCAGTATGTATGGAGCCTGATTGTGTTTGCATCCCATTAACCGTCTTATTTTCCCCCAGAACTTTTTAGGGTTGTTGTACTCAAGCTCTGTTGTTTTTATTAGGTTGTTCCAGTGATTTGTGTATAGGGCTTTACTTTCTTCTTTCAGGTCTTCCTGTATTTCCCTGTATTGGTTTCGTGATGCTGTTGTCCAACTAATATGTTCGACGGCGTTTAAGATATTTTTATATCTCCACTCTAGTAATTTCAGACGATTACTTGTCAATGGGTGTGGTAAAGTAGCAAACGTTTTCTTTGGTATGGCTTTATCCATTGCTCTTTCAACGGTGGTGTACCATGCATCGATTTCAGTGTTGATATATTCTTTGCTGATTACTGTGTTCTCAACGTGTTCTGTGGTCATATGGTCATCTACGTCTTTTTTGAAAAGTTCCCAGTCTGCCCTTTTTAGAATGAACATTTCTTTTTGCCGGATCATGATGGGTGATGTTGATAAGGTGAAGACTATGGGTAGGTGGTCTGACGTGGTTAGTGGTCCTTGTTGGATAGCATGGTTCATATGGACGTTTTTATTCCCAAGAATAATATCTGGACGACCTTTTCCTCTTGTGCTGACGAAGGTATCGAAGTCCGGGCCAATGTGGGTGATCATATTTTGGTTTATTAAATTTACTAATTCGTCACCCATGAGATTGTTGCTATTGTGGCCGATCGTTCGGTGTTTGGCGTTTAAATCAGCAATGATGTATCCTGAATGTATGCAAATATGATCGCACTCATTATGCTGGCCGCTGCATTTGGTGGTAAGGATTTTATAATTGCCTCAGGATTGACTGTAGTGGCAGTTCTTGCTTCTGTTACTGCCCTCGCATAGCTTGCTTGGGTAAACGAGGATGTGACGGTTGTTTGGCTCCTCAGTGCCTGTCTCTCTTGTTTGGTTCTTTCTTTGATTATGTTTTTCCTGGTTTGGCATTTAGCGGCTAGCGTGCGGTGATCACCGTTGCAATTTAGGCATTTCTTTGTAATATTATTGCAATTTTTGTATGTGTGATCTTATGCAGAGCATTCTGAGCAAGCTCTATAGGTTTCTGGCTCCTTGCAATCTTTTATCATATGGTCGTATTTATAACACCTATAGCAAGGGACTAGATTTATGAAAATTTCTTTTTCGATAAATCTTGATGGGATGGATTGGTGCAAGAGCAGCATTCCGCTTTCCAGGGCTTTCTTGGCCATTTGGGTGGTTTCGAACCTCACCTTAATGATTGTTGGCGCGTTAGGTAGCTTAATCACCTCTTCAACTTTTGCCCAGCCATTCTCTCTTTCGATGGTTTCTTTAATTTCGCTCTCTTCATAATCAATGATTTGTCGGTCAATGTTTCTGATTGTTACTGTTCTCATGGCATTATATTCAGGAGGATCTTGTATTTCAAATTGCTGTGTTTGAAATATTGCTTTGCAATCTGTGGACATCAGCTTTTCAATTGTCTCTTCATTTGCGACTGCATAAAAAGCATTTTTGACGTCGTCTACTTTATAGACCGTCACCTTTGCTTGCCCAAAACATTGCCATATTTTTGCCCGCCTGCCTGAAGAGGTCGGGTTTTTATCTCTAATCCTTATGCGTGCCATTTTGACCTCAGTTGGTGGTTTGGCAGCTCATGTTGGCTATGGGCTGTTGGGTTGTTAGCCCCTGGTTGGCTGAGTGGGTCGTCTGCTTGTTATCCAGGCTAGTGTGTATAGCCAGTCTGAACTCCACTCTGTTAATTTTTCAATGCCAACTTATTTAGGATGGCTTTTTTCCTATTGCCTATCTATGCTGGCACTGAATAGGTATCATGAGCCAGGACGTTGCCGGTGACCTCACACCAAGGAAGGAGTTTTAAGACCACAACGGCTACCTTCCGAGAATGTCAGGCGGGCATAGCTGCAGGAGCACATAAGGAGCGTGTTAACAGTCCGAGTGCCCTGAGCGATCTCAGAGGACAGGCTGTGGACCTGGACCCAACCTGGGGGAATTATCTGCGCTGCAGGTTGCGGGGGTCGGCTACAATACTATTATTACCATTCTTATCATTATGATTTTTATAGTTTTTATTATTTTGATGATAAAGATTTTACTATTATCATTACCGTTTTCAATATATCATCATTATCGTCGTGATCAGTATTATTATTATGATTTTTGGAAATTCTGTGCATATCACGTTCTTGTTCTTTATTGTCTAAGCAGTTATAAGGGAAAGGAGTGAATTTCTTTTTTTCTCTCTTTCCCTCCGTATTTATATTTCCTTTGCCCTTTCTCTCTCATATATATGTTTCCTCCCTTTAACCACCTCCTCTCTCTCTTTCTCTATTTGCAGCCCCCTACCCCCTCTTTTTCTCCTTGCTCTCTAACTGTTTATTCATTCCATATTTCCTTCCCTTTTTCCGTTCTTTCCTTCTTTTCTCCTTTCCAAATTATATCCATCTGGTCTGCATTTGCATTGTGGATTTATTTCTCCAAGTATGCCTTTGCAGGTTAAAAAGGGCACACTCATTGCGGCATGTTGTCTTCTCCAATGTACAGACGAGTACACAGTCACAGACGTATTCCGAACTCTCTCACATATGCATATACTTCCATAGATATATAATCATGTAGATGCAGATGCACACGTACAAGCGCACACACACATAGCAATCGTACATATTCATAAGCTCACACGTAAATACTCAGAAGCATAAGCTTGCACGCAAACATACATGTGCATCTCTATCGGTCTATATTCATGCAGTATATATATCCCAATTATGGGTTCTTTGTATGCGTGCCTGTAGATGAGATCTAGAGTTGCTGTCATTCGAAGATACTTGTGGAACATATTTCGTGCCGAATGAATGAAGACATTGCTATAGACAGATATTCTTTATTTCTATAATCAAAACCGACAAAGAAAAGGCAATATCTAGATACAGTAATAAAAGCAATCAACAATAAGGACAAATAACGATAAAAAAAAAAAAAAATCAACGAGATCAACTCAAGAAATCAGAAATACTCTCAGATTCAAGCATATCCTCCTCCTCCTCCGCCTCCTGCTGCTCCTCCGAAGGACTGCGTCCTCTGGTAGGGAAGAGGCGGGGCCACGGGGAGCAGGTCCCCCTGGGGCTGGTAGCCACCCTGGTCGGCCACGAAGGTGATTTCCACAGGAATGCCCTCCGGCGCCTGGTACCTGTGCGTGGAGGAGCATGGTCATGTGTTGTAAGGAGAAAAGCTAAGAGTATGTTGGGACAACATGAGGCACATGCAATGAGGGGCGAGGCTCCGGCCTGAGGCCGAGAACCACGTGACTCACCTCCAGCCTCCCTCCTGCACGTGTCCGTTGTTTTCCTTTCCGGACTCGTAGCGGACGATGCCGTTGGCGGCCTCGAACTCGAAGGTGTTCTCGCCGTAGGCGTTCTGCGTGCGGTCGTCCTTCACGATGGGGATGAACCGCCCCCCGCCGCCGCCACCGCCGCCGCCACCGCCATCGCCTCCACCACCGTAGCCCTGCGCTGCCGCCATGGCCACCACGCCAGCCAGCACCTGCAAGCAATGGAACACATGGGAAAGCCCTTCCAGTCGGCCGCTTGCCCCAGCCAAGCACGAGGCGATCCTCGAGCGACTACTCACCACGAGGCAACTGCGAGTGTTCATGATGCGCAGGGAAGTTGGTCCAAGACTGGCTGGATTCGCGCTCGTCCGCCTTTTATACACACTGGCACACTTCTGCTCCTCGTCCTGTCATGGCTACGCCCATGGAGTCACTGACCACGCCTTCTTGCAAGAAACTGCTTTTCATGCTAAAATAGGATGATTGCGATGAAGTGCCCTCATTAAACCTGTTATATACCTTCTAGTTGCCTAGTCATGTTCAGAATTTTTCTCTGCAGTTATTGCTCTGCTCTGATAGAAGTCACTTTTGTCGCTGTCTTCTGTCATAAAACTCGTTTTTAATTCTATCACTCACTCAGTTATTGTTTTTCTGGTAGTGAATGCCTGTAATGGTAATTAGTAAAGAAAGATAATTATCACTTTATCATAATCTATCATTACGTTGATCATCCTCGTCATCTTTCTGTCACTATCAGCCTTTCTCTCACTATTGCCATCATCAAAATCATCATCAAAATCTTCATCAATTATCTTCAAAATCACAATTTTCATCATCATGACTACCATACTATAATCTACGAAGTTTCGTCTCATCTCTGATACTATTATTTACGTCTTTATATCACCATTATAATCAATACCATTACTGTCGCTATGCACTATTATCATTACGGATAGTATTTATTACATTCTTTATCATATTGATATTACTGTATTATCATCTTACCTACAATAATCATTATTGCTTTTATGAAACATTGCTTTTATTCTTAATACGATTATTATTCAGGATAATGATTATAACATTGATAGAAATAAGTGGATATCCATTACCATGACCACAATTTGCTCTCAGTAATGTTTATAATGAGATTGGTGATAGTAAAAGTGATAACCATGAAAATAATATCGCTAATGCCGAGAAAAAAGGACAGTGATTAAACTGATAATGATACCTTGTTGTATGAACCTATGAAATTACTACAACTACTGGGAGAATAATAATGATTAACAAAAACATTGCGGTACATAACAGCTTTACTTTTTTTTTAAATATCGTTTTGATGAAAGCAGCAATTTCTATTGACATTATCATCTAATTTCATCATTGCCATCAGTATTATTCTTGTTATTATAACTGTCCTTGATCTATTTAGTATATGATTCTAATGCAGGTAGTATGGATATTCTATACTGCTTAAAAGTTGCTGTTATCATCATTATTGACGATTAATGATACAATGATGTTATCATGATTCTTATTTTCCAGATGTAACTGATGGTAAGAATTATTAATATCAGCATTATTACTATCAGTATAATGAACACCAACATTACCATCAACACCTTTACTAACAATGTCATTATGAATATCAAGAGTGTGATGATTGATAGTATGATTAGCCAATTCATATTATTTGGTGCATTTAGGTGCCGCTCGCTTCTCGAGATGTGGTTAAATTGTCAGGATTTTGGAGGTTGCAGAAGCAGCTACTGAACGACTGATCTATTAAAGCATACGTGCACACACATGTATTTATATAGAAAACACACATACATACTCTCTATCTTTCCCTACTCCCATCCTCTCTCTATATCTATCTCCCCCTCCCCTTTCTCTCTCTCTCTCCCCTTCCTCCCTCCTCTTTCTCTTTCTCTCCCTTCCTTCCTCCTTCCCATCCCTGTTTCCCTCTCTCCCATCTCTCTTACTATCTTTCCCTTTTCCTCTCTCCTCTCTTTCTCTCTTTGTTTCTCGCTCTCTGTTACTCATTTTCTCTTTCCATTTTGCCTTTTTTTCACTTACTCTCATTTCTCTTTTTCTTCATTTTCTCTCTTTCTCTTTCCTTCTTCCCTGCATCATACATTCAAATTTAGTATTTGCATTAGTCTGGATATTTTGTCATGATAAACTATTGGCGATGATGTATCGCCATTTCAGGTATTGGTATCGACATTGCCTTACCTGTCTTCGAAAAATCGATGTATCGGCATCGCTGTAGCCAATTTTCTAGTATCGGTATCGCTTTAGACCAGTCGTTCCCACCCCTAAGAAAATTTTACTGTGTCCTCGGACCACCTTTAAATTTATAACTTATTTAAGGAGAAAGTAGGTGAAATTATGCTAAATTTGATCAACAAAAGGTGTTCCAGATTATTTTGATAAACCCTACAAAAATAGCCACTTGCTTGAAATATCTACATGTAAAAATTTGATAATTAACTTTTAAAACGTTTGTATAAATGAATTTTCAATTCAGTGGCTCTTTTCTTCCTGTTTCTCGATTATGAGTAATAAATAGATTAATTGTTTGTCTTCAAGATGTATACTTCTCGCACCCCTTGGAATGCTATCTCACATCCCCAGGTGGTGCGACCACCCCTGGTTGGGAAACCCTGTCTTAGACAATTTTGTGTATCGATGCCTATGTGTGTGTGTGTGTATACATATTACATATATATATATATATATATATATATATATATATATATATATATATGTACATATATATACACTTATACCTACAAACTTGCATGGATGTGCTTGTTAACTTGTGTGGGTGTGTAGATATGCGGTACAAACGGGTTCTTCGAGGCATGCAAGGGAAGAATATAAATAGGTTAGGAGCGAGGAAACAGAGGTATACATAAAAAATTATTTAGATGGAGATATTCATAAAAAAAATCATTTTTCTATCTGAAGCGTGAATTGAGTTAACAGTGTTGATTAGCGATGAGAACAGCTCCGCGTAGGACTCAGCCTCCTCCTGGCTGGAAGCGGTCCTCTGGTAGGAGGGCTGGGGGCAGGGGTGAGCCAGGACGGGCGCGGGTACCTGTGCGTGGAGGAGCATGGTCATGTGTTGTAAGGAGAAAAGCTAAGAGTATGTTGGGACAACATGAGGCACATGCAATGAGGGGCGAGGCTCCGGCCTGAGGCCGAGAACCACGTGACTCACCTCCAGCCTCCCTCCTGCACGTGTCCGTTGTTTTCCTTTCCGGACTCGTAGCGGACGATGCCGTTGGCGGCCTCGAACTCGAAGGTGTTCTCGCCGTAGGCGTTCTGCGTGCGGTCGTCCTTCACGATGGGGATGAACCGCCCCCCGCCGCCGCCGCCGCCGCCACCGCCACCGCCTCCACCACCGTAGCCCTGCGCTGCCGCCATGGCCACCACGCCAGCCAGCACCTGCAAGCAAAGGAACGCATGGGAAAGCCCTTCCAGTCGGCCGCTTGCCCCAGCCAAGCACGAGGCGATCCTCGAGCGACTACTCACCACGAGGCAACTGCGAGTGTTCATGATGCGCAGGGAAGTTGGTCCAAGACTGGCGGGATTCGCGCTCGTCCGCCTTTTATACAGACTGGCACACATGCTCATCACCTGCCGTGGCCACACCTCCAAGAAGCAAACTGCATTTCATGCAAAATAGTGATGGTGTAGCATTGTTTGGCAGATAGGTTGCTTTATAATTCCATGGTCATTATTATAATTAATAATGCTATTATTTCTTATTGCCGTTTTGTTGCCGTTGCTGCTGTTGTCGTTTGCATTGTCACCTCTGTATTATCATTATCATAATGTAATTTAGCACTATTATCTTTATCATGATCATAATAAAGATTATATCTTCAGATCCATTCTTACTATTGGTCATATTGTTTTACGATGTTTATAACGCTCTGAACATCACTTAAGTTACTTTCACTTGCTTGTCATTATGAACACTATTCTGTTATTTTCCTATAAAATCGCCAACATTTATTGGCATTTTCATTGCCATACGTATTACGATAATTATTGTTGTTATTATTATTATTGTGATCCCTTTTAGGATCATCATTGTCGTTATTGTCGATTCAAGCTATTTAAGGAATCTATCGTTGTAAAAGCCTCAAGAAGAATTCGGCGCATTACAAGTAGAAACCACTGAAAGAATTAAGTGATGATAAAATTGCAAAAATATTTCCATTAAATAATACTTATTTTAATAGCATTAAGAATGATCATACTTCTGGCGATGGTGTTATTAACAAGAGTAAAATGTCTAATAGCATTCGGTTACATTTTTTATAGCTAGAATGTCGCTAAATTAGATTTCCTATGGATGCCTTGCTATTATCAATTTCCCGTTATCAGATCCTTAGTTTCTGATGTAATTCTTAGTTATCTTGCCATTAAGATATGATTGTCTTTTTTGATATATTAACTGATTAAAATTTATCCTTATTCTAATCATTATCATTGGATTGTTTTCTTTATTTATTTATATTTATTCTTTTTATTTTTATTTTATTTTTTTTTTAGATTTGTACTATCGTTTTTTTCGTTTACACTCGGTAGCGGTTGCACTGTACATTTCCATTCATTATCATTGTTGCTTTTATTCTCACCCGTATTCCAGGTATTAGGACATCTGTCACTTAAGGCCCTATCACTTTTTCTGTAATTTTTTGTGTTCCGTATGAATGTGAGGCTTTCCGAATGAATCGCATGCGGGCCTCAGACGAACACGGCAGGCGTTTTCGACTTTATAATTTCCGTCTTGATCTTATGCAACGGAAGACCTATACTTGTAAGATATTTTTTTCTTTTAATTTTCTTTCATTAATAAACAACATAAATGAAGTTCGCGTAAACATACTGCAATATCCTTGAACGTTTTTCTTTACTCGATGGGGAAAAGAGCCACTAACTTCATAATTTGTGCCCATTTAGGGGGTTTGCCTTGAGCATGATAATTCACTGGTTGATAGACGACTGGGAAAATGAGGATATTTTGTTTCCATTAGTTATTGCAATTTCGATGGCACTGTTTGCCTTTAATCGTAGTAACAGTAATATTAGAAAAAAAATATATGTTACAATATGTTCTTATCGATAGGGAGCTGAGTCGAAAGATTAGTGATAGTCTCCCTCCAGTCCCCCTCCCCTCTATATTTTTATGAGTGAGTAGATGTAGGTGTGGGTATCTGTGTGGGAGAGTATTTGGATATTCAGAATCAAAGACAAACTTAGTCCCATGACCAAGAGAAGGTTTGGGGCACATGCACTGAAGGA